TAGAAATTGTTGCTCAAGTTCTTGCTTCAACAAATTTTGTTTCGGATATAATTTATGGCCATGCCATGTATTAATTATCCTTATAATGTTCATCTGAATTTGCAGAGAAAAATATATCTTGGAAGCAGGAACCCTTACCTCATAAGATGGGTGAGCTGTAGGATTTGGTTCTGTTGAACTTGAATTAGTTTTTGCTCATCATGTTCTCTGTATTAGGAATTCAGATGCCTTCCAACTCTAATTTTTTCGTATTGTTGGTGCATGCTGGGAGTCACATTGTTATGCATGCTAGCAAACATTAGGATTGGAATCTTACCCTGTAGGTTATTAATATCTTTTCCACTAACCGAGATTCAGCAATTTAATTCGTATGGTCGCACAAGCAGTTTTGTTTTTGGATTTGTCTTGACAAACGTATTGGGTACATCAATTTAATTCGTATTAAGATCACACAAGTAGTTAGTTCCGTTACACTTGGGTCACCGACGGTTGCCGTGCAACTATGCTCCTCTCATGTTGTAGTGGCTAGCTGCTGCAATTCACGGATCATGCTCTCATGGGAAGGAGGCTGTGGCTTTCTCAATTGATCAGAATAACAGAACCCCACATAGTTCTTTTCTAGATATATATTGTTATTTCTGATGTTGTGTGGACCATCAGAAACCTGATGTGTGTGTGTATCATAGAATATCTTGCTATTTATGTATATTGCTTACCTTTCATTCCTGTACCACTTCTCTAAATATAAGCCACTTCTTTTCTATTGTTAGCGCTATCTTTTGATGTTAATGCACTAAAAATCTAAAGCCTTTCCCTCTGCAAAATGTTGATATTAGAGATTTTTTTTTGTGGGAAAATGATGATATTAAAGCTATGCGTCTTATAATCCATACTGTATATGACAATGCGTATTCAGTTATATTATGTTTGTAGCATGGCATTTTTCCATTCCTTTTTTTCCTGATGAATCACATGGTAAATTTTGATGTACAATGACTGCTCTTGCAAAAAATGTGGAATTCAGAGAGGGACTCTACAACAAGCAAGGTTTTAGGTTCTGAATCTAAATAACCTCTTCTTCAGTTCAGTCCTAGAAAAAGCTGATCAGAGAAACAAAGAAGCAACAATGAATGGGTCCCTTTCTTGACCACACAAGAGTTGTCTGTGTGCAAGTCATGAACCGTTTGTCCATCAATACAAGTGCGGGATTTGAACATGTTAATTCTGACCTTCTGTTGGGAGTTTATATTATACCTTTCATGCGAAGTAGTTACATTTATCACATGGAAGACAATGCCCATGGAGTGGAAGGTGGAGAGATTCAGACTTCGGAGGATGTTAATATGCTCATAAAATTTCAATTAAACTTGTAGAAATCTTCCATGTAGCTGTGATTGTTCTCTCCGGACATGGAGGATCAGTTCTTGGACAAATTTATTTGTCTGTTGTATGACTTGCCACCACTTTTTTCCAAAATTCCTATTCACATGTTATCAAACCATAAAGATCAATATCTTAAAACTTTAGTAGAATTAATCTGCCTTTATTTCTGGACTCTAGCATTTTGTGCTTCTTCACAAGTTCCAAGTTGTTATTTGGCGATTAATTTAATTTGGGTTCTTGGCACTCGCTCGTGCAGGTTATGACTATGCCGTAGGTGACGTGCGGAAAGGCGACCAAAGAGTACATGAAGAATTCTTGCTATCAACTAGGGCTGGATGCCCCCAGGAAGAATGCCGTGAGTCAACTTTAATGACTAATATGTTAATTTCTTCTAGCTACACAATATGAGATATTGCTTCTTAATTAACGCTTACTGCTACGTAGTAAGATGACAATGGGATTTTGTTTCTCGAGTTGGCACTCAGTAGTAAAAGTGGTTTATACTTCGAATAGTTGAGCAGAAAACTGGCGTGTCATGGCTCCTAATGTTACAGAGCAAGTGGACAGACTCTATCCCCCCCCCCCCTCTCTCTAGACTTTGTTTTCTAGGTTTGGTTGGGTACAAAAGGCTAGATTCTGGTATATATTCATTGATGCAGAAGCTAGAAGCTCATTGATATTATTTTTCTTGCCAAACATACAAAGGATTGTGCATAAAACTTCCAGCTTGAAATTTACATCTGGGTTACGAGCTTTCTTCAGAATTTAAGAACATCGTTGTGGACATTTAGATATTTTTGTAGTATTCTTCAGGGTCTTGACTTAATTTCTTTTCACACAGTAAAATATTAATTATATGTTGTACAGTAGTAGTACTGTGCATACTATGTACTCAAGTTTATTAAAGTCAAAGCAGGAAAGGAGATCAGAGTTCAGGGCATGTTCAACTCCACCCATGCATCAAGGGAAATATATACGACGCAAATGATAACGTGTTCTGCTAGATGACATAGTACAAGGTTCAGCAGCGACGACATGATCTCAAACATGCCACTGGCATGGCACCTATACTAAACTTGATTTGTTCTCTCAATATGGAGTGTTAATCTTCTCCTCTGCATAGTACAAATATTCCCTTAGCTCAAAGGATATAGACATGGTGAGTTTGGTTGGAGGAAATAAGAATGATTTATAAAAGTAATAAAAGGGAGATAATGCTGCTTGATGTGTATGGGGATTCTGAAGATATATATGATTGATACTTTCCCTGCATGATATAGATTAGTCGAGGTTTGCGAAGTTCTCTATAAAAGAACTATGTGGGGTTCTATTATTGTATTATTTCTAACACGTAAAATATTTAGGCCCCCGTTGCATTGCAAGGGCAATCAGGTCATGGCAGAATCAAGTAGGAACTAGGAAGTAGGAAGGGACCAGTCCCGCCCCCAGCGACAAAGACTCCGACAACGGTGACGGCAGTGTGTCCCGACGAGCGTGAGCAATGGAAGCATAATCTCCAAGAAACTGACCAAGACGTTGTCCAGGTCACACGTCGAGGACTTCCTGCCGCCACCTTGGCTGCTGTTGTTGTCCCCTCAAATAAGCCATATAAGGTTAGTTCCATACACTGCAAATGCAACTTGCAAGCATGGGGACATGTACAGAACACAAGTGTCATACACACAGAAATCATCAACTTTGTGTTTTAATTCTGAATTACAGGCATCCCTAGCTGCACTTTCAGGTCAAAAACATGTGCATACTTCGGTAGGCACAACAAGCAGACCTATACAAATTTGCTACAAAGGCCTGAGCTACTGAATATATATACCTGTAATAAAAAGAGGCTTTCCTATCATCCTCTTTCATGTTCAAGTTCCTAATGAAGCAGCCATGAAAGACTGGGTCAACAATGAAATAAAATAGAAAACTAAACCCATTGTTCATGATCTTTGTGGAAGAAAACACATACGATTCTTATTCTGTAAGAGTTGTTTGTCTTTTGAGTTACTGCATAGGCAAAATGCCAAAATTCAGTGTAGTCTTTTCGGTTAATCTCATCATCATGTAATTAATATTCTGTGAAGACTACAATATACAGCGAGGCAATGAGAAGAACTGGACCTGGTGTGTGAGTGTATAAATATACAAGAAGCTATTTTTATCCAATCTTGCTATTAATGACCATGTGGTGTAATCTTGGGCTATTTGTTGTAAATAGCTAAAAGTGGTTCATAATTCTTGGTGTGTTTTGCTGTTTCTTGCACTGGAGGATCTGCTCCTTCCCCACGCGTGCCCGCGAGGACAAGGAGTCATAGTGGTGGCCACTAGCAGCGCCAGAAGGAGCGTCCATTCAAGCACATTCAACCAGGATGGTGTGCACGTTTTTTTTAAAAGCTCAGGCTCCTCTTTCTTACATGAGTTATTCTTAATTATTGATTTGATCTGTAGGATTTACATCAGGTTGGCACAATTTGATGAACTTGAATTGTTTTATGTTGGTCATTATAATTTTTGTGAGTTTTTGTTGTTAGCCCGTTGCAACGCACGGGCACTTTTACTAGTAAAAATATCATGCGAACAATAATAAAACTGCCACACTCTCAATAACCAAATCACCATCCTCTTAACAATAAAATGCCATGCTCTCAATAATAATATTGTCATGCTATTAACAGTAAAACTACCATGCTGTAATAAAACTGTGATTCTCTTAGTAATAAAACTGCCATGTAAGACATCAATATTTTTTTTTCAAAAAATGGTATGAATAAGAAATACAATTCCCAAAGTTTGCCATGCGGCATTACAAAAGGACATAGAAATTGCCATGTTTTGGAACACACAAAAATGTCATGGATTAAAATTAAAAATAAATTGCCATGCTACCTATAACTAAAAATGCACATGACAAGTTTAGAAAAAAAACCCAGTAAAAACATCAGGATTTTTTCTTTCAAAATAAAAAAATAAGGATTTTTGGATTATGTTTTCAAAAGGAAAATCCACTTAAAAAAATTTAGGTTTGACATACATATGGCAGCTTCGTAGCAAGTGTTCACAAAAACCCACTACGGTCGAGTGGTAAGCACCCTGAGCGCTGCTATACACACGATACACAGCAGACGATCTCTGCCCGATAGAGCACATCAGTGCGTCCAAGCAGATCATCGGACGATGGATTGGCCATCATGCAACTGCCGTGCACTCAGATACACCCTCGTCCAAGAAAACGTGTAACAGCGAACGAAATCTACGTGACATCGGCTTGTGTCAAGATCCGTACAAAGACGGGGAAGGCGTTCGCTGGGATGAGCTCCCTGGCTGCCGTTTGCCAGATATTATTTCCGTTTATCTCAGAATAGTTGGGCAGAAATCGAGGGAAAGAGCACAGGCGAGAGGATAAACGTTGCGGATTGTTGTCCACCAGACTATACCGAGGAAACTAATAATGAGAAAACAGCCCTCCTCGTCTGGAAAGGCCGGAATTCCCCAGAGGCGTTTTTTTGCCTTGAGCCTCCAAAGATGAGAACAGTGCAGCTTCGAGCCCCTACTAGAACAGCATAGCACTAGCAGAGATGAGATAGCTGGCTCTACCGGTCCCGCAATCGGAATCCATGGCGCCAGCCGCGACCCCGTGCTCCCCGCGTCTCCTACTCGCCTCGTCTGCATCTCCGCCTCCTCTCTTCCGCGTCGCGGCCCGCCCCCTGCTGCCCGGTACCCGCCGCGGGGGCGTGCGCCTTCGGGTTCGATGCGGAGCGGCGGACGAGGAGGCCGAGGTTCGGCGGGGGGAGCAGGTTAAGGCGTCCGTGGAGGAGATGGCGCCCGGCCTCGACCTCGTCACGCTCGCAGCCTGCCTCGTGGGCTTCCTCACAGGCGTCTCCGTTGTCCTCTTCAATCTTTCCGTAGGTGCTTGCGAACCACACTATGGTTTGATTCTTTCAGAATTTCAAATTGGTTCAACAGTCACTCAACTGCTGCACGAATCATGCAACTAATGCTTTTGTGGTAGTTTTCTACTCCCTCGTCTCATAATATAAGAGCGTTTTTGGCAGTAGTGAGGGAGTAGTAGATAATGGTAGTGAACTTCCCTTCGGTGTTTGCATCGGAAGATGTACGCATTCAAATTTATTACTACCTCTGTTCATTTTTATAAGACGTTTTAGGCATTCAGACACTGTTCAAAACAGTACACAGCAAGCTGTGTGAAACGTCTTATAAAAACAAACGGAGGGAGTACTGTACTTCATTACAACATTCACGCTCAATGGCTCTGAGGGAAATCATAAGCTACATAAAGCTTGTGCGAAATCCAACATTACATATCAAACCAACTGTCATCCCAAATGGAACATAAATCCCGTGGTAGTCCAACTCCATCTGCTCCTGCAGTAAGGGCCATGACAGCAGCCAGTTGGCACATATAAGAAGATCACCGTTGTCATTCCTGTATGAGGTGTAGCCAGTTGTAAAAGCTTGATGATCCAACCTAACCATGCTCACATCAGAAGCTATTTCGTGGAAGGTAATCAGAAGCACTCATTATAGCTCAGACACCTGCATTTTATTCTATCAAGTAATTGAACTTCATGTATCCGTGATTTAGCTCGTCATACTGAAAATTAAAAACGAGGACCGCCTTCACCACCTTAAAAAACCGATGGCACCTTCCTACCTGCCAAAGTTCTAGCTTGATTTGATTTTCATTCATAAGTCGGATGGATATTGATGCTGAATATACGAATGAACAATACCTTCGAAGCATTGCTCATATCTCCAACATATAGCTTAGGGGGGCTAGCAGTTTCTTTCAACTCAAACTCAGCATAGCCTCATGTCTTATTCGGATCGACAAGGAGCAGACTGCAATTGTGCAGCTGTGTCCAGCTGAGACACGATGCCAAGGGTGGTGAGCCTAGCTGCCTACCAGTTTGGAAGCAACCATGTCCTAGCTGGACATGACACTGGCACTGTTGGAGCTGACCGGAGTAGCTCCTCATCTTCTTCTACCTCTCTACCTCTCAATCTCACTCCAGTAGCCAACAAACGCACTGACCCGACCATAACAGCCAGCCACTAACTAACCCATGCACTAACACAGGACTCGGCTAGCACAGGCACACATGCAGCTAACAAACTTGCCAGGCCATGGCGCACACCATTGCCTGACCTAGACCGACACGGTGGACACGAACGCGAGCATGTACTCACGTGCCACCGGGACACAGATGCACATAGGTGTTGCAGACTCGAAAACACACGTCATAATGCGCGACGCACACACATGCCATGACCGGACACGACGTGGTTTATTTTCCTAACAGGCACAGCTAGGTGTCAGACCATGGATTCGTCACATTAATTTGATGGCTTGCTATGTTGAAAGATACCTTAAACCTATAAGGTTCAAGTGAGGTTTCAAACTGTTATGAAGTTGGATAAGAGTATCTTTTTTGTTTTTGTTTTTGTTTTTGTCTTTTGGAAATGGAAGTTTTTATTGATTCATCACCATGTATGATGTATCTAGATGATACAATCACAAAAGAGTTCGGCTTCTGGAGGTCAGAGTATCTGTTTAGGCTGCCTCCTATATATAAGAGGGAGCTGTGCCCATGAATAAAACAAGCAACATAACTCCAAATCATTATTTCTCCGATTTCTCTCGTGCCTTCCCCTCTAATCCCCCTGAATACCTGAACAACATGGCCTTAGGCTGAAAACGTTCAGTATATTGCGACACGTGTTACGTTACAGTACAGGATGCGGCACCCCATCTTTGGCTAGGTTCCAATTCCGAATTCTGTAGGTGTCCACCAAATGTTGGGTGAACTTGAAACTTCAGGTCTTAAGTCAGAATGATACAATTTGAAAGTTTAGGCACCTTGTTGCATTTTGCTACTGATGGGAATCATTTTTAAATATTCACGTTGTTAGTTTAAGTACATGTTATTGCTTCTTTGGATGTATTTTTTTTTTTACCATAGGTTCATGAAATACGGGACCTGCTTTGGGATGGCATACCACTGCGAGGCGCTTCGTGGCTGAGGGAAGAACCCACTGCTGAAATTTGGCAGAGAGTGATATTTGTTCCCGTCAGTGGAGGCATCATAGTTGGAGGGCTGAATACGCTAAGAAGTTCTATCAAAACAAACTCAGATGGCTCTGTTTCTAATATAAAAGGTGTGTTTAGGCCATTCTTGAAAGCTGTGGCGGCATCTTTCACTCTCGGAACTGGCAACTCTCTGGGGCCTGAGGGACCCAGCGTGGAAATAGGTTCTGCTATAGCGAAAGGATTTGGAAATGTGTTTGGGTGGGAAGGCGGAAAAAAGCTGTCTCTTGTGGCAGCTGGGTCAGCAGCTGGCATTGCATCTGGTAAGTTCTACATCCCCAATTGTTTATATATTTTGTTACAAGGTATGTTCCATCAGTATGATGGATTAACCATTGGGTAAGCATGTCATAATTTGCTTGATTTCTTCATGCTTATATCAAATCAATTTAAACTAACAGGGTATCCTGTCATAAAAGAAAATCAGTTCCCTATAGATAGTTTTGTCCACATATATTCACATTTTGATGTTGGCCTACTATAATTAGTTAATCATACATACTGTATACATTTATGTAATATAACTATAATTTAGTTGCATGCGTTGGTGGAATTTTAGGGAATGTTCCTGCGCCATGTAACTTTACCTAGCCGCAAGTATGTGATTCACCTGTTATTGTTTTTCGAAAAGGATTCACCTGTTATGAGTACTCTGATATGGTCAACATGTCCAATGGTAAAGTCAAAATATTCCGTGTCTTCTGCTTTCTGATTCCATTTTACTTATATTTCAGGTGATTTCCTTGTATTTTAGGTTTTAATGCTGCTGTTGCTGGGTGTTTTTTTGCGGTGGAGTCTGTTTTGTGGCCTTCATCTGGCGATTCTTCATCCCTTTCCAACTCAACACCTATGGTGATCCTCAGTGCAGTGATAGCGTCTGTTGTTTCAGAGATTGGTCTTGGTTCTGATCCTGCTTTCACTGTTCCAGAATATGATTTTCGCTCCCCAACAGGTACTTAATGTTTGTTATATTTGAGATTTTTAGTTCTGTTTATGAATATGAAGTACTTCCTTGCATCTTGCAATATTGGTTCTTATGCTTCACAGTTTCTTATGATGAAGTCTCTGCTGTTTTAACTTGTTCCCGCCAATAACATTTCCCAAGTAACTTCATATGTTGAGATGAAATAAGTCATGTTCTGTTTCTTTTTCTTTCAAAAAGAGGGTAGTAGTCCCCAGCCTCAGCATCAATCGATGCACACATCCCTCAATAGATTATTGCAAAGTTTATGAGTATCCAAATAGTCATCAAAAGCAAAACTAAAAGCCAGAAGGGCAAGGACAATGGCAGACACCATCCATCAGTCAGCAACTGGTGCAGCCATTTGCTAAATCATGTACTGTACCAGCTGAAAATTACTAAAACAGGACACCAACAAATCTTGCACATTTTTGCTCTTGAACTACCTGATGCTCCTAAAGCAACCTGCTGTTCTGCAATTGAAAATTACTAAAACAGGACACCAACAAATCTTGCGCATTTTTGCTCTTGAACTACCCGATACTCCTAAACCAACCTGATGTTCTGCAATTTGTTTGGCCTCATATAGTCACATAGAATGCCTATACAATCTTCCAGATGGTAGGTTGCTCTCAGTAACTTTTAATGGTACTCTCATTTTACATTTTGTTTTTCGTGCTCCAGAGATTGAAAGTATGAGGATATTTACATGACTTCATAAATGTCAGAACTTCCTCTATATCTCTTGCTGGGCGGGTTTTGTGGAGTGGTGTCAATCACCCTATCTAGGTGTACAGCACTAACTATGGACATGGTTGAACGCTTACAAAAGACAACAGGATTGCCGATGGCTGTATCCCCTGCCTTAGGTGGCCTTATTGTTGGTCTTCTCGCTCTTGTATACCCTGAAGTTCTGTATTGGGGCTTTGAGAATGTTGATATTTTACTGGAATCACGGCCATTTACAAGTGGTCTCTCAGCAGCAGTGTTGGTTCAGCTCATTGGAGTAAAAATATTGGCGACGTCTTTGTGCAGGGCTTTTGGATTGGTTGGAGGTTATTATGCACCATCCCTTTTTATTGGTGCAGCTACAGGCATGGCATATGGCAAGTTCATGAGGTTTACATTTACTGGCTCTGAAGCACTGTTTCATGTCCCCTTCCTAGACGTAGCGTCACCTCAAGCATATGGTCTGGTAATGCCCATCAGCATATTACCTTTCTTCTTCTCAACTACTCCTTCCGTTAATTTTTAGAAAGCACCAGTACATCTCAAAAATTAAACTTTGTAAATTTTGACCAACAATTAGTCCAGCAATATACATATTTAAATTTAATTACAGAAAAGTGATACTGTTAGATTCATATTTTATAACATCTGTGTATGATCATTATTTATGTAGTGATCAACAAATACTTCCAAAGAAACAAATGGCCACTGTTCAGTTTTGCAGATCATGCCAAGTCAAATCCTGCCTCCCATTTTTGCAACGGAGGGAGAAGTTCAATGTCTCTTTGTATGCTTTTGTAGTATTAATGATATTGCAACCATGTGGTGGCATTTCCATCTCTTGTGCTTGTTTTGTAGTCACTGCTCAGCGATTTTCAAGTTCTAACTTTTTTCCTTTTGCGCGCTGTTACACTAATGAAGATATTATGCAAGCAGTATTATCATTGCTTATGTTTGTTTTCCTTTGTTTCTATCTTTGCAGGTTGGTATGGCAGCTACACTTGCCGGTGTATGCAAGGTGCCTTTGACATCTGTCCTCCTACTGTTTGAACTAACGCAGGATTATCGTATAGTTCTGCCTTTGCTTGGTGCTGTTGGACTATCTTCTTGGATCGCTTCTTCTCAAAGGTTCTCTACCAGCAGTAAGGGTAAGCTGGATTCATTGGAGGAGAAAACAAGCACCATTGAAGAGGCGAAAAATGTGCCCACTCAAACCCAACAACTCACTTCTGTGGATAGTGTTGATGCTACTGCAGAATTATGTAAACTAGAAAGCTCGCTTTGTGTCTATGATGTCAAAGATGATAACGTGCTGGAAAATCTTACTGTTGCAGAGACTATGAAAACTAGATATATTTCTGTCTCATTGAAAACTCCAGTAGTTGAGGCACTAAATCTTATGCTTGTGGAGAAGCAACCATTTGTTATGATAACTGACAGCAATAAGTCTTTATTAGGCTTGCTAACAGTCAAAGATTTCCAGGATTTCTGCAAAACTGTAAAAAGTACCAGGATGCAACTTGAGGTGAGAATTACCACCATTTTCCACTGGTTCATTTTCTCTATTTGCATAACCTTGATGTTTTAGTTTATGGGAAGACATACTTATTTGTGCACACTTCTTTTCTGTCCTTTTTGATTTCCAAGTTTCATGACAGATACCTAGTGTCCGAAGTATTTGCATCCATATGGCTATTTTGGATGCAAAACCAAAAGGAGACATACTCAGTCTAACCCTGTAAACCACATCACAGTTCAGATACATCAAAGAAACAACTCACAAACTATCACATAACAGCCAACAGACCATCACATATGAAGAATCCTATTTTTGTGATGGATTGGAACATCCGAACATGTCAAATATATTCTGCACAAATTAATTAGTCCCTGGAGCTCCGAGTCCTTGACCACTTTCCGTCTCTCAATCTGTGATGGAATAATCATGACAATAGAAAAATGATGACGAAGCCATCTGCAAATTCCTTATCACAACTCCAAAAGAGTGCAAGGATTTGAATTCTCTCTCACAACCTGTTTGAACCATAGGACCTTTAGATCCTTGCCCTATATACACAAAAGTCTTGCGCTAAAGAATAACCTAGGTTCTAATCTGGCGCCCTAATTATTTTATCTTGGTTGGATGAGATTGCCTATTGCTTGATTACTTGGGTTGGGCGACCCCTCTTTTTCTTTTGTAGGGCGTATTTTGATTGGTTTAAGACAAAGGCTTTTACCAACAATTACTATATTAGTATGTAATTTATGTGACATAAAGTTGATATAATTAGTTTCCTATTTAGAAATATTTATGATTGTGATTTCGTATTACTAAACCACTTATTAACCGAGTAATTCTTGGTAAAAGTCTTGCCTTAACCAATAAAAACACACCATGCAAAAAGAAACAGAGGGAGTAGTTTTTGGTTCCCCACCTGTCCTCCCTCGGTGAAAATAGGATCCAGTCTGTTGGAATTAATACAAGAGTCCTTTAGTTACACCTCTCCCAAGTCCAATAGGTTCAAATATATTTGTCATATTTCTAAACACTGAAGTTCTTGTGGTTCATACATACTTCAAACTCTTTTTTATTAACAGAGAAAAAGATGGGTTTCTTATTTCCTTAAGAGGTCAAATGGTAATCCAAAGGGTGTGTCACACCTGCATCGCCAGGAAGCGATGCGGTGGACGCGTGACGGTGGACCCCACCAGCCAGTTGGCAGGAGAGACAAGTGGACCGCGGCTTTATAGCCAGCTGTAGCCAATGGGCAAGTGTGTGTTGTGTGTAGTGTTATCTCTGAACTCTCCCCCAAACTGTATCTCCTCCCTTGGAAGAAATCCCCTCTCCCAAGTCTCGATCTCATCCCGATTGCCCTCTCTGATCCCCTAGAGCGTAGATGAGTTCGTGACAGTTGGTATTCAGAGCTCAGGTTTCGGCCCAGATTTTTGCTCCGCCGCCACTCTTCCCTCTCGATCGAGCTGTAAAATCCACCGCTGCGGGTGCGATTTCGCTCCGGCGAGATCTGCGCGAAATCCCCAGCGGGGTTGGCTTGATTCAGAGCGTGTGCGACGGCGCCGCCCAGCAAACCTTCGGCTCAAACCCGCCACATCATCACCGCCATGGCTGAATCCACGGGAGAGTTGAAGACGCTGCTGCAGGCGCTGCTGCAGCGTTTCGACGAGACCACGCTTGCGGGCGACAAGCAGCGCGAGGCCCAGATCGCGTTCAACACGCAAGTCTCAGCGGATCTGGCGCATATCCGCAAGCAGCTGGATCTCACCCAGGCCGACGTCGACGAGGTGCGGCAGCAGCGCGAATCACCTTCACCTGCGGCCACTGCGCCTCACCGACCGAGGGACGCCGACCACCACGACGGCGACACGCAGGCCTCCGCGGTCACCTCGATGGAGCACGCGTGCGGGCCTCTTCCTCAGTGCCCTGCCGTGCGCCTCGCCAACAACGGGCCGCCCCTGCTGCCGTTGCGGCATCCTCCCCAGTTCACGGGCGCAGGGCAGCCGGCGGCGTTCATGGCGGGCCGCGACGCGCACCACGGACCGCGCGACGAGTACATGGTCAAGCCGCCCAAGCATGATTTCCCTCACTTCGACGGCGACTCGCCCAGCCTCTGGATCGACCGCTGCATCACCTACTTCAAGCTGTACCGAGTTCCGCCGCACAGTTGGGTGACCACGGCCTCTCTCTACATCGATGGCCATGCGGCAAGCTGGTACCAGGCATACAGGCAGACACACCGTGCGCCGAACTGGGAGGAGTTCACCGCGGCCATCATCAGCGAATTCGCGCCAGACGAGTTCGAGACAGAGATGCACCAGCTGCTCCAGCTTCGTCAGACCGGCACCGTCGCCGAGTACAGAACGGCGTTCGAGACGCACATGTACCACCTGCTCGCCCTCGACGCGTCGCTCAATCCCAAGCTGTTCGTCACGCAGTTCCTGCTGGGTTTGCGCGACGATCTGCGGGCGGCAGTCCGCCTCCAGGAGCCGTCCAGTCTCACACGCGCGGCGGTGTTGGCCCGGATCGTCGAAGAGGAAGTGGGCACACAACGTGCTCGACCGCGCATTATTCCTGTGGGCCGGCCACCACCACCACCACCCCTACAGCTTCCTCCGCGGGCCCCGACGGCGCCGCGGCCTGACGCCGTGGGCGTGCCCAACGACGATCTGGCGCGAGAGCGTCAACTGCGCGAGCACCGGCGTGCCAACGGCCTCTGCTTCAAGTGTGGAGATCATTACTCCCGCGACCATCGGTGCAAGCCTGCAACTCAGTTGCTCACAATCCACGTCGGCGACTATGGAGAGGTTTTCAGCGATGACGCGGTGCATGCCCTGGACCTGCTCGACGCCCCAGCAGAGCAAGAGCCTGCACCGGAATGTTGCGTGCTCTCCACACACGCGGTTGCCGGCACGGAGTCGCTGCGCACCATCCGTCTGCGCGCGCTCGTCGGCAATCAGGTGATGCTGCTGTTAGTCGACTCCGGGAGCACACACAGTTTCGTCTCCAAGGAGTTCGCCGAGCGTGTGCACGCGGTTTCTGTGCCCGTGCCCGCGGTGGAGGTCTGGGTGGCCAACGGCGAGCGCATGACGTGCAACAGCATGGTAAAGGGACTGAACCGGTGGATTCAAGGACACACGTTCGCCACAGACATGAGGCAACTGGATTTGGGTGCTTATGACGGCGTGCTCGGCATGGACTGGCTGGAGCAGTTCAGCCCGATGACTTGTCACTGGCTGGAGAAGACACTGACGTTCGAGCACCAAGGCGCCATGATCACTCTGCAAGGTGTTCGTCCAAAGCAGAACGACAAGCTGGAAGAAATCGAGCCCGATCAGGTGCGCAAATGGCAAGCTGGGAATGACATTTGGTACATGGCAGTCCTTGATCTGCCCCGTGCACCGGAGCCGCAGATTACCAAGATGCCACCCAGTGTCCAGAGTGTACTGACGGACTTTGCGGACGTGTTCGCTGACCCGAAGGGTTTGCCTCCCCATCGCCGCTACGACCATGCAATCACCCTCGTCGACGACGCGCGCCCGGCGAACTCGCGCCCTTACCGCTACTCGCCACTACAGAAAGACGAAATCGAGCGCCAGGTGCAGGAGATGTTGCAGTCCGGCGTGATTGAGCACAGCATGAGCCCCTTCGCCGCGCCCGTGCTGCTCGTCAAGAAAAAGGACGGCACCTGGCGTTTTTGTGTCGACTACCGCCGGCTCAACGACACCACTGTCAAAAACAAGTTTCCCCTGCCCATTGTCGATGAACTGCTCGACGAATTAGCGGGCGCGACATTCTTCTCCAAACTGGATCTTCGCGCTGGCTACCATCAGATACGCATGCGCGTGGGCGATGAGGAGAAGACCGCGTTCAAGACCCACCATGGCCATTTCCACTTTAAAGTCATGCCATTCGGCCAGACGAATGCTCCGGCAACATTCCAGTGCCTCATGAACGCGATCTTCGCCAAGTACGTCCGTAAGTTTGTCATAATATTCCTTGATGACATTTTGATCTTCAGCCAAACCTTGGAGGAGCACCTGGAACACCTTCGTCTCGTCCTCGCCCTGCTCCGGGAGCACCAGTTGTACGCCAAGGAGTCCAAGTGTTCGTTCGCCCAGGACAGTATCTCCTACCTGGGCCACATCATCTCCAAGGAGGGCGTCGCCACGGACCCCGAGAAGACGCAGGCTATGGTCGCGTGGCCTACTCCAACAAACGCGACTGAACTTCGCGGCTTCCTCGGCCTCACCGGCTACTACCACAAGTTCATCGCGCACTATGGCATCATCGCCAAGCCGCTCACAAGCTTGTTGACCAAGAAGGGCTTCGAGTGGACAGAGAAGGCGCAGGTGGCCTTCGATCTCCTCAAGCGAGCAATGGTGACCGCGCCCGTGCTCGCGCTCCCAGATTTCGAGCGCCCGTTTGCGATTGAGACGGACGCCTGCGACACCGGCGTTGGCGCGGTGCTGGCACAGGAAGGGCACCCGGTGGCGTTCCTCAGCAAGGCCTGGGGGTGCGCAACCAACGGCTCTCAGCGTATGAGAAGGAGTTCATTGCCGTCATGATGGCAATCGAGAAGTGGCGAGCGTACTTGCAAAGGGGCCCCTTAACCATCATCACCGATCACAAGTCTCTGCAACCTGCAGGATCAGCAGCTCGCCACGGACCTGCAACGCAAGGCCATGGCCAAGCTGGTCGGACTCCAATTCCAGTTCCGCTACCGTCGTGGCAGTGAAAACGGAGCCGCGGATGCTCTTTCCCGCGTGGGCGCGTCGCTGAACCTGGACGCGCTCTCCCTGTGCCAGCCCGCATGGGTTCAGGAGGTGGCCAACTCATACGCCATGGACGCCGACGCATAGGATCGTCTGGCTCAGCTCGCGATCCACAGCCCGGACGACAAGGGTTACGAGCTCTACAAGGGCCTCATCCGCAAGGAGCGCCTGTGGATCGGCAAGAACACGGCCTTGCGCACCAAGATCATCAGCGCGCTGCACGACAGCGCGATAGGTGGCCACTCTGGCGCCACGGCCACCTACCAGCGCATCAAGAAGCTTTTTGTGTGGGATGGATTGAAGGCCGATGTCACCGACTACGTGCGACAATGCCCAGTGTGTCAGCACGCCAAGCACGAGCAATCCAAGCCGGCGGGCACGCTCACGCCATTGCCCGTGCCAACCACTCCCTGGCGCGACCTGACCATGGACTTCGTGGAAGGATTACCAGCATCGGAGGGCTTCGATTCCATCATGGTGGTAGTGGATCGGCTCACCAAGTCAGCACACTTCATTCCGCTTCGTCACCCATTCAAAGCTCCCCAAGTGGCCAAGGTTTTCTGGGATCATGTCGTCAAGCTGCACGGCATTCCGAGCTCCATTGTCTCCGACCGTGACCGTGTCTTCACCAGTGCTCTCTGGCGCGAGCTCTTTGCCAGCGCAGGCACTAAGCTGCTCTTCTCTACGGCATACCACCCCCAGACAGACGGCCAGAGTGAGCGAGTCAATCAGTGCATGGAAATGTACCTGCGATGCGCGGTGCACGACGCGCCCCGGCAATGGCGCCGCTGGTTGCCGACCGCGGAATTCTGGTACAACTCATCTTTTCATTCCTCCATCAAATGTTCCCCCTTCAAGGCTCTGTACGGTGTGGAGCCCAACATCGGCGCCATGGCATTCTGGGATGACAAGACGGTGCCCATGATCGATGGCGAGCCCTGGGACTGGGGCGTGCATACGGCACGGCTTCGCGAGCACATTCTTCGTGCCCAGCACAGGTTCAAGAAACAGGCTGATCAGCACCGCACGGAGCGCTCCTTCGAGGTGGGTGATCATGTTCTCCTCAAGCTCCAGCCCTATGCACAATCATCCGTGGCGAACCGGCCTTGTGCTAAGCTGGCTTACAAGTACTTCGGGCCCTTCGTGGTGCTCGACAGAATCGGCAAGATGGCGTACAAGTTGGAGTTGCCGGCAGACAGCAGGATTCACCCTGTCTTTCACGTATCCCAGCTCAAGCCGTTCACTCCCAACTACACCCCGGTCTTCGCCGAGCTGCCACGACCGCCAGACCTCACCGGCCAAGACGAAGAACCAGTGAAGATCCTGGAGCGGCGCATGGTTAAACGTGGCAACAACGCTCTGGTGCAAGTCAAAGTGCGCTGGCGCCACGACCGGACGACAATGACATGGGAGGATTACGACACTCTGCGCCGCCGCTTCCCTCACGCACCGGCGTGGGACACACCAGCCGCCGACGAGGCCGACCAGCAAGCTGCAACTGAAGAAGGAGCTCATTCTGAAGAAGAGGGGAATGTCACACCTGCATCGCTAGGAAGCGATGCGGTGGACGCGTGACGGTGGACCCCACCAGCCAGTTGGCAGGAGAGACAAGTGGACCGCGGCTTTATAGCCAGCTGTAGCCAATGGGCAAGTGTGTGTTGTGTGTAGTGTTATCTCTGAACTCTCCCCAAAACTGTATCTCCTCCCTTGGAAGAAATCCCCTCTCCCAAGTCTCGATCTCATCCCGATTCCCCTCTCTGATCCCCTAGAGCGTAGATGAGTTCGTGACAGGGTGTTAAGTTTATCTAACTTGATGTGGTTCTTATTTTAGTTACTCATTTCTGCTCATGCTGGAACAGGTAGATGAATGTCTGATGTCTCATGTTTGTGGAGCCGTTAGATGTAAAATATGGTCTGTGACACCTCAGATGCCACTTACTACTGCTGAAAAGATTATGGATTCTCATGGAATGGACCAGGTTCCTGTAGTTTCAGAACATGTTAATCATCAGGATGGAGGAATCTTGGTTGGTTTTGTAGATAGAGAATGCATCACCATTGCTCGAAGGTAAAATTAAATATTTGGATAACTATGTTTCCAGATTTCAACTCTCAGTAATGAATAAGGTGACAAATTACTTGTTTTCCAACTTATAATCAATGTAGTGATGTTTTCCTTCCATGCTATGTTCTCTTTCAGAGCTTTGGCAGCAAAAGAATTTTTCAGTTTCACATCGGAGATCAGAGGGGAAGAGAGTTGATGCGGATTCACTTAGTAATTTGCTTGATATTCTGGAGCTTTCATTTGCTCATGTCCGCTTATGTGATTAAGCTGGTCAACAGCCGAGAAATCATAATCGACCAGGTTTATTTGGTAACTTAAGAATTCATTAAGTGAAGTAGCTGGCTGAAGTCTCTTCCATTTCTATCAAGACTGTATGTGAATGCGCAGTGCATTGCTGCATTATTGTGGTAAGAGCACGCCATGTTCTCAGTAGTTGGATCGCTGCACCTTGCACCTAACTTGTGCATACCACTGTTCTCCTTTTCTGCAAAACAAAATGGAGTATTGTTCATTTAGGAACTGGGCCAGCGCATTGGCACTTGAGCGTGCCTACTACACAGTATAATTCTTCAACTGAGAATTGAACTATTCGTCAACGTAGACACTCGAAAGATAGGCAACAAGATCAGGCTATGTCACACATATTTCTCTTTGCATGTTGTTAGTAGTTTGAATTAAATGAACCGAATTTGCACAAGGGAGGGTTTGTTTGGCGGATCTTCTAATAATTATCATGTATTCTTTGCAGTCTTATATGTTTGTTAAAACAACCTTTCCATAGAAAAACAGTTTCTATCCGTATCTTTGTGCCAAAAGAACCTTCATTGCTGTACTTTTATCACATGTTTCGAAGCTAGTTTCAAATTTTGAACAACAGCAACAACAAAACCTTTTGTCCCAAGCAAGTTGGGGGTAAGCTTAAATTTTGAACGTAAATTTAAATTAGAATATTCCTTTATCTGCATACTTGAACTCTAAATTTATATTTGGAAATTCGAAATCTTGAAATTTATATCACAATTGTGAAATTTGGAAATTTAAATTCCAAAAATCTAAAATCCGGCATGTCCAACTTTGAAAGTTTATACTTGGAACACTGAATTTTCATAATTTGTGCCCCCCCCCCCCACACACACACTAAAGAAATATAAGAGCATTTAGATCTAAATGCTCTTATATTTCTTTACAGAGGGAATATTTCCGTTTTTCAGATTCAGACTCGACAATTGGTTGGTAGTTCCAAAACTTAGTTCAAACTATGTAATTTAAACTTGAATTATACCAGAAGACAATTCATTGATCTGTGTTCAAGTCTCGAAATGCTCAAACTACATTTAGGCCCCGCTTGGTTCCTCGTTTTGTGGCCCAATACACCTGTAAAATATACCCCTGTAAATTAAAAACAGATGGGCCTCGCGTTGGTGCTTGTCATGTCGTTTATGGGCTGTAAATTTTACACCGGTTTTCCTGTTTACACCTGTATTAGGCCGGTATCCGATACAGGCCACCTCCCGTCGTTTTTCCCCACCTCGCCTCTCGCTCGAGATGGGCTGTTTGGTTTCTGCCGATGGGCGCCCTGCCAAATCGTGGGCGCGGTTGGGGAGCTCCTAATCAGCGCCGGTTGGGAGAAGTGGCGCCCGCTATGGCGCCAAGTGGGCCGGCCCACGAATGGACACCACACAAAATGCTAATGAAAAATGGGCAAAAAATTACAGACGCGCGATGGGATCGAACCCGTGATCTACACTGCATACAAGTTATCGGCTAACCACTAGGCTACGTACTTCCAAGTGACAGAATCCATCGGTCAATCTTTAACAACTATTGTAGCTGCTCATACATGATTTTCTTTAAAGAAAAAGAATCTTCACGTATTTCGGAAAAAGTTCACGAACATGCAAAAAGTGTTGCCCAATTCAAGAAAAGTTCAGTGATTTTGAAAAAGTTCATCAATTTTAAAAAATAGTTCACATAGAATTGAAAAATGTTCATCAAAATTTGAAAAAAGTTCATTGATTTTGAAAACAGTTCATCAGATTTGAAAAAAGTTCATCGATTTTTGAAAACAGTTCATCAAATTTGAAGAAAAGTTCATCAAATTTTGAAAAAAGTTCATCTGTTTTGAAAAAAGTTCATCGAATTTTGAAAAAAAGTTCATCAATTTTGAAAACAGTTCATCAGATTCGAAAAAAGTTCATCGGATTTGAATAAAAGTTCATCGGATTTGAAAAAAAGTTCATCCAATTTGAAAAAATAGTTCATCGGATTTGAAAAAAAGTTCATCAAATTTGGCAAAATTTCAGAAAAATAAGTTCAACGATTTTTAAAAAATTCAACGCTTTTGAAAAAAGTTCATCGAATATGAAACAAAGTTCGTGAATTTAGAAAAAAAATTATGAATCTTTAAAAAGCGTGCATTAAAGAAAACAAAAAAGGATAAAAAACAAGAAAAAGAAATAAAAACCGAAGTCAGAATGCAATAAGAGAAGAAAAGTAAAGGAATCTTGTGCGAAAGGTTCGATGGTCGTATGGCTAGAGCGTGGCGCTAACGACCGAGGGGTCGCGGGTTCGATTCCGTCGCTGGCCACCCTTTTTTCGCCAGTTTTTACAGGGACGCATAAGGGAACTGGGCCGGCCCAAATCGTGGCAGGGGGTGTGCGCTGCAGGCGCCCGTTAGCAAAATGGCCTATAACGGGCGCCTGCAGCGCCAAATAGGGTTTCCCGCGCGGTTGGTGCGCCAAAAAATAGGCGGACAAATCGGCCACCCTGGATTCGACCAACTTTTTGGCGCAAAAGAACAGAGCGAAGCCCAGGCGAGTTGGCGCACCAATGTTTTGGTGCCGATCCAAACGACTACCCTCAGCCTGATCAACTACCGATTTTTTGGCAGGGCAGCGGGCGGCTCCAATCCAAACAGCCTCTAGATCGAGGTTACGCCGCCGGGAGGCACCGGTGTCTACGAGAGGGTGAAGCGACAACGTTCACGACGGCGACGTGTTGAGGCGCCGAAGACGTTGGCCAAGACGGGAGTTAGGCGCGTCGACAACGGTGGCTCGCTCCTGGCCGCGACGGCGACGGTGACTCGCTTCTGGCCGCGACGGCGACGTTGGCAGGTAGGCGTGATCTGACCGTGACGGCGAATCTCTCCTCCTCCTCCAAGCTGCCTCCTCTGCTCCACCAAAGTATCATCCCTTCTCCTCCTCGTCCTCTGCTCCCCCTCCCCGTCCCTTCCCGGTCAGCCGGCGGCGGAGCACTCCTCCTAGGTGATGCGTCGTCCTGCTTGGTGATGAACTGATGATTAGCCCGAACCCTCCTGCCAGTTAACAAGTGCTGCCAAAGTTTCACAAGAATTCAGTTTCGTAAGGCGTAGGGTAGTTAGTTCCGTCAGTTGAAACCTGGAACCAGCTGCTACAACCGGATTGAAACCTGGAGCCAAGCGCAGATTACAATCGGATTGAAAATACAACCCTGCAGAATGTATTCTCTTGGAGGCCGGTATAATACAGGTGTAACATATTACAGGGGTGGCGGAAAAACTACATTCCAAGCGGGGCCTTAGTTTCTTGTAATTTATATCGGGAAAATCCAAACGTCACCTGAGATCCATGCAAGCCGTACAGCCGTGTAAAGGTGGACGTGGACGTAAGCGTGTCACTCGGTGTATCAGGTATTGTGCACTACTTGTGCTCCTGAGATCTGGGCAACCATGAGGTCAGTCATAGTGGGGAATAACTTAGACTAATAACATGTATATGTTACTATTTTTATAATGGATAGTGTCATATGTGTGATAGCATAGATACCTTTTTTATTGTTTTGTAGAGTCATTTTTCATTAGGAAGCGCTATGTGATGGTAACATATTATGTTATCTTATTTTCTCTCTTCTTTAATTATTGGCCATATCATATTTTTTCTTATGTGACATATGTGTTACTACCTATATTACTTTCACTGTGACTAGTCTAAAAGGGTTCGTACATGCCGCAAAACTGAATTATATGCAGCCAGTTCACACTGCCATGGTTAGCCAACTCACATAGCTATGATAAGAGTCTTCCGCGTGCAAAGAAATTACTACTTCCCCAGTGTGTACGATCAGGCAAAATTGAGCTGCAGTTATGCAGGCTGCCTGCTTCCGTATGCATGTGAGGACATTTGTTCAGCGAAAGGTTGCGAAGTCTTGCATTCATAAAACAAATAAATATATTAGGAATGACTATAACTTAACCAATTTAGAAGTTATTTTTTGGTTGACATAGTTGCCTTGCGATCAAGACCATAGTAGCCTGGTTCGCGGGTCGATGGTGCGATCCCTGACCCGGGGTCGATCGACCCGGATCGAGGGTCGGGGACAAGGTACGGTCGAGCTGGGTCGCTGGATGGGTCGCGATCCCGATCGATGGGTGCTGATCCAGATTGGTATGGACTATGGAAGAAGCAAAGAATATGTATGAAGATTCGTCAGAAATTGAGGCTTACCAGGGCACTACGGCGATCTGCCACTTGCTCGCCGGCGGCCGGCCATGGAGCTGTCCGCTGCCATATTCGGCCTCTCCCGTCCCGCTCCCTCCAAACATCGAACGAGATCGGTAACCTGCTTGAGAATCCGTGGCTGGAAGGTGGACAGTGCTGGACGGCTAGAGGATTGGACATGGATCAATGCCGTACTGGTTCGCTGCAGCTTTGCCAACGAAGTGAAGAAGACAATGGAGGGATTGGAGAGGAACATCACGCTTCGTGTGAAAGAGAAACATGCAGTTGAGAAAATCACGCCGAAGCAGCCGTCATCTGACATATGAGCCTTTAATGATGATAATTTAAGGGAAATAATTATTAGACGCACAAATTCTGGGGGAGTTGTTTGAGAGAAATTATGGGGAACTTAGGAAAGTATCACCGCAGAATATATCGACCCGGATTTTCGACCCGGTTGTAACGGGGCGCGTCCCGCGATCCAAAAGAGCGTCCCAAAGAAGAGTATCCCTCTTCGACCCTCGATTTCAACTGTGGCGATCCGCGTCCCGCGGCCCCGTTCCTCGACCCGATCGACCCAGATTTCTGGCAACTATGATCAAGACATTTTTCATCCATTTGCACTCAGCACAAAATTTCATTGTTCAGACTGAATGGTTGTTAAAGTCAACTTAGGAGTTAGGTCAGTTATTTCTTATTCGTACTCCGTCCATCTCATAAT